CCTTCGGTAATCACGGATTACTGGCCGGTTATGGTGCTAAACCCATAGGAGCGGGTTTGGGTTGTGACAGTATTGGAAGTAAGTTTGGTATAATTTGGGTTTACATGTGATTGATTCATAAGATTTGAGCTTCATAATGTAGTAAATTGGTGTTTGTAGCACGTTAGTAGTTATATATGAGAGTTATAGGTTATAAAATGCAAGCTATGTTAATTTGAATGCAAGTTTGAAGCTCAAATTGGTTGCTGGAAATTCCAGAATTCGGCATGTCCGCTCGTGCGGGGAGAGCGCCGCTCGAGCGTGAAATGCTAGTTCCCAGAACTTTTGCAGACATGGACATCCGCTCGAGCGGAGAGATTCACGCTCGAGCGGGGAGCCATGTAGTTTGACTCTCAGCTCGAGCGTCTGAAGTCACGCTCGAGCGTAAAAATGAAGTAACCAGTACTTTTGCAGACCAAAGGGGTTCGCTCGAGCGGCGAAAGCTGCCCTCGAGCGGGGATCCCTGTAGATGATAGATCTAATGCTCAAAGTGGTGAAGTTAGCACAAGCAACAATCAAAATGAGGATGACGATGCTTGGCTAATGGAGGGCTTCCCAAGGAATTAGGCAAAAAAGCAATGTTTTTATGGCATGATGTGTTTGTAATGGATTGGTTTTGACCTTTTGTTTTATATTTATTTATCTACTTTCATTTAGGAATGATGGATGCTCATTGGTGTGTTTTAAGATCTGGAACTATAAATCTTATCTCTATGCTTGGTTTATGTTTGTGTTTGACATTTAACTCTTAATTGATGTAGTAAACAATAGTATTTTGATTTGATTATGTTTGTGTTTTTATTTGACAAATATGTAATATTAATTACTTTTAGTATAATGCTTTTATTACTTTCATTATTATGACTGTATTTATATGTTTTATTTTCTAACTTTGATATATGTATAGATTGTGCAATGATTTTTCCTTGTCAAAAGTGTTGCACAACCCGTTTAGAGAAAGGTCTTCAACAAATAAAAATAAGGTATGTCACATTATTATTGCAAATTACAATTTCATTGTGAGTGATATTTGAAAATTCTATTATTTTGTTGAATTTAGTTATTTTTTTCATTTTTATATTTATATTTTTAATATATATATTTTTAAATATATTTATGATGTAATTATGATGTCATAGTTTGACCGCTTTGACCTGGCGGTTGAACTGATGACCCGTCCACCTGGTCCCTTTTTCGGTTCGCTCACCGATTCGATTTTCAAAACATTGAGTAGAAGTCCAATGAATAATAACAGAGCAAAGGTTTTACTGAATGATGTCCATACAGAAACAAAGTCTTGTACATAATCAGGTGCCAAAGCAAAAACAGATTCGTATACATAATCATATTCGTCTTCACAGTTCATACATTTCATATGATAGTACGTGGTGCATCCATTAGCATTTACAAATCCGATGACCCATAAAAGGACAGCCATAAGGCATTCCGATGACTCATGTGCACAGAGACATTTCCAATGACCCATAAGAGACGACCATAAAGGCATTCCCATGACCCATAAAGGGATGCATATCATATGATACTAAGGATGCCGCGAATACATTTCAGAAACTTGGACAATCATTCATTCACACAAAACATAGTATTTCAGAAAACTGATCATTTCATATCATCATAAAATAATTAAAGTTAAACATAACTTTACAGAGTTATTACTTACAGATGACTCTGATAGCAAAATAGAGAAAGCGGGCGACTTAGATAGTCTATGGCGCGTGACCTACACAAACACATAGCAGATACACATTGAAACACACGCTCGGAATATACTTAACTCATTACGTTTCATTCTTAGTGTGTTTCTAAGTCTGATAATCAGCAAAATTATAGAAAAATGTTATGTGGTCTACACACTTAAATTTTTTTTTAAAGAATAAATGGCAAAGTGTTCAAAATTTGAATATATTATGGACTGCATTCAAAATGAATCTGATCTACACACTTTAATTTTTTTTTTAAAAATTATTTCATTTTATTCTCCAAACTTATTCAAGAATCAATTCAACCCTCCTTTTAATTTTATTAATTTTACAAATAAACTATTTAACTTTCAGTCAATTTTATCCATGCTGCTAATTTTATATATTATTGGATGAAATTTGTTGACATAACACCAAAAAATTATCACCAAAAATCAATTAGACCTTTGAATATTAGCAAAAGAACAAATTTTAATATTTAACTAATAAATCTTTATCTAAAAAAAGTGAAAAAATAAATAAATAATGAAATTTACAAAAAAAATAAAATAAAATAATAATAATAATAATAAATATAAAAGTCTTGTTTAAAATTGTTTAAATTACCTCGAAATGGCCCTAAGGAAACTAATGAATTGAGTCCAAAATTCCTAATCTATTCTCTCTCTCTCTCTCTCTCTCTGTGTAATTGTATTTAACTTATTTTCCTAATTAATTTTAAAACTGTGTAGGTAAAAATCTATACCATATTTGTTCTGGGGGAAACATATTCTTCCAAGATTTGAAAAACAATATTGAATGAACCTAATCTAAATATCTCGAGATTTCTACTTACAAAACCAAACTTTTTTTTTTTTTTTTGTTACAGGAAAATCCTCCCACTCTCCCGCAGGTCCAGGGCAGCGCCCCTTACAGAGATCATCAAGGTGTCCTGTTGTCTGTTCCGAGATAGGAGACTATAACCTGGGAACTTGCCCCGACCTCCCAAGACAAGCTCCACTTAAATCAAGACTCGAGCAGCGGGGGAGCATTGGGCCCACACCAAGTGCTATGGTAGCAACAACTTGAAGCTAACCTCCTAACCAACTGTTCTACGCCCAGGAGATTGGCCCAAGGGGTTTTGAACTTGAGACCTAGGGTCTTAACCCCCAAGCCTTAATCCTTGTTTTAATTCCTCTTGAATTCATGTATTATGTCTCAATTACACAAGTAAAGGCTTAAATCCTTACCTCACTCTTGATTTAGGCTCTAGCTTGCTATATCTTTGAGCTTCCAAGTCAATTCCCTTAATTCTCTAGCAAATTCCTTCCAATCTCAAGTTTGATCTCACACCTCTCTTAGTCCCTTCTTCCTCCCTCTCACATTTTGCTTGTTTGTGTAGGCTTAAAGATGTGATGAAGAGAAGAGATGAGTTGAGGCATATAGGAGCCTTATATAGGCTTGATTAGAGAGTTTAATTAAAACTAATCAAATGGACAATAATTATTCTAATTTAATCGTTCCAAATCGAATTTCAATTAAACCCACCATAAAATTCTAAAAATCCCAAATAACATAAAAATCTAGTCACTTCCGTGATCAGATGCCGATAAGGCCTTCAATTCGCAGAACAAAACAAAAACATGAACTAATCTTTCTACGATAGATAGATATGAATACAAATAATGCAACACATATGCACTTAATTCAGAATTTCATCTCAATTACATATTAGGCATACTTAATCATGGATTATCCGTTAATCATGAGTCGGTGTTGTTACAATGTTAGTTTGTTACAAATATATTTATTTATATATTTAAATAAAGTTCTGATTATATCAAATATATATATTTTTAGAGTTAAGATATAATAATTTTTTACTTCTAAATTTATGCGATTAGATTGTGAAACTCAACTCTAGTGGACTCTTTGAAGGGATTTGTAGTTTCATAAAATTGTTAAATTTTATCACGTTATTCGAAAATAAACATAATTTATATAAAATCTATGAATTATTAGTATAATCCTTTTACTTTCAAACTAAAATAAATAGGCCCAAAAATTGTTGTTTAACATTAAACCACACAATGGATAAAGCCAATACTTAAACATAAATTTGAATAAAAACTTCACTACTAGAAGAATAATAAATTTGAGAGTCATAAAAATTACTTTCAAAAATAATTTGTGTTAACTTTTGAGTCTATTCTATTCAGTCAAAAACAAATAAATAATTTTAATATAAATTTAAATAGAAGACTATATTGTATTTTGACCCATGAGGCCGTTAGACAAGGTTAAGTCTAAAATTATCACACTAGTTTGCCTAGTACGAGTTTGACTCTAAAGAAAATTTGAGCTTAGTTTATGGGTAGGCTTGGGCTCCACTTTCATGTCATCAAGTCAAGCCGAGGCAATCTGTTAAGGTGGAGTTCAAGTATACCCTTGAAGTAGGCCTAACAATTTTTTTGTGAGGAGCAATGATTGCTTTGTACAGGTTGGCCCAAACTGACCTAACAAACAATCTTTAATGGGGAATTTACAAATTAGTATATTTTTCAAAAATAATTTTAAATTAGTGGTAAATTTTACTAACTCTAATAAAAAAAATTACTATACAAAATTGTAAATATTTTATGAAGTTACACATTGTTTGCAATTTCCCATCTATCACTAGTTAGTAGGCCGCCCAATCTCACATAGTCCGGTTCGGCTTGTTTAAAAGCTTGACATAGGTTTTACATTAAATAAGGCCCTTTAGTCTGTCTACATTGTCGGGCGAGTTCATTAAAGTGAAGTTGATCAGTTTTTGTGTTGGTTCTTTATTGCATTTTTCTCTGGATAGATTAGACTTTACTCCTTTTAACTATCATTATTTTTTATTTTATCTCCTTTAATTAAAAATTGATATAATATACCTTTTTTTATTTTTGAAAGTTTCCAATCTAACTTTTATGTCTATATTTGTTTTAGAAAACATACAAAAAATGTGTATGTAATGTGCATATGTTAGATTTATCTATCATAAATATGACGTGAATGTACATTTTTTTTGTCAATTTTGTTAAGAATGAAAATATTAGAGTTATATTGAAAATTTTCAAAAAATAAAGGGCGTAAATTGAACTATCAAGTTTTAGTTTGGGGGATAAAAATAAAAAATGGTGATAATTGAGGGGAGCAAGGTGTAATTTGCCATTTTTCTATTGAATTGATTGAAAGTCAATCAAATCATTTTTCGAGCTTGACACATTTTTCTCGGTATTTTGTCCTGTGCTGGATCACCTGTATCTTCTACTCACGCATCTTCCAAACTCGCTTAAAGAACTAGCCTATCTGAATGGCATTGGAAGAGAATCCTTTATTGGGGAATTTCATTTTCCCTCCTTATGATGTTATCGAAGCCAAACATGTTCGTCCCGCAATCCGATCTTTGTTGAACCAACTCGTAAGTTCAATTTCATACTCCTTGATTCAAATTTTCTCACTGATATATATATATATATATATAACGAAGCATACATATATATATATATATACTGGGTAGTGGATGATAGTTATTGGTTTAGTAAATATTTGGAAAAAATTATTGTTCTCTGCATTTTAGAAATCAAAATTGTGTAACCAAGTTGTTCAATACTGGGTGAGTTAGAATAATGTTTTACAGCACTAAATTGGGAGCTCTAGAGCATCAGTGATGATGTGGCACAATGATGTGGCACAGTAGCCCCACTAAAGTGATGTGATGTTTTGACTTGAGTTTTTTTTTTTTTTTTTTTTTTTACATTAGAGCTATTATTTTTAAGCTCATTAGATCTGTTAGTGGTCTAAAAATTAGTGGGATGAATCACCACCACTCGGGTGAGTTATGTGCTTTTTATAATAATAATAATAATGATAAATAGTATAAATATATACTAGTTGTGTGTTATAGATGAACTTTTGGGCAGCTTGATAACTAAGTAAGATGGGTTGAATTCAAAAACCGTTTAGCATTTATTTGTATAGTTTTAAATTTACCGAATTATATGGAGAGATAATTGAGAATTCTTTCTTTCTTTCTTTCCTTTTTTTTTTATGAGGAAAAAAAAAAAGAAGAAGAAATATGGCATAAACACCAACAACAGTGATGGCTTTATAATAGTACTAGAGGTTGTGCACACCTACATGGGTGTGCTTGAAATTTCCTTGTGGGTTGAAATTGACCTTTATAGATCGAATAGGTAGTTATAGAAAAACTTGCTTGTGATTCAATTCTTAGTCAGAGAAGAGTAATTCGGGAATAAAAATCATGTGACACAAAAGTGTCAACACTAACTTAGCCCTTCATGTATATAATAGAAAGAATAGGTAGGTAGATAAATTGTGCAGATATATACTAGCTGTGGTTGCAAAACGTGGTACTTTGCAGTTTTACATCTGAACTTTTGGGTGGTTTGACGAATCAGGAAGATGGGTTAAATTTAAAAAATGTTTAACAGTTATTTATTGGATGTCTTGTTTTAAATTAACAATTATATTCTTGAAAAACAAAAATAAGAAGCACGACGAAGTTTCAGAAAAAGTTATAGAATAGCTATAGATGTATGTGGGTTCTGATAAGAGTTGATGGGTGGAGTTGTAGGAGAGTGATTTGGTTGAATTGGAGACTACAGTGGAACCCACATGGCCGAAGTTGGTTGAGCCGTTGGAGAAGATCCTAGACCGACTATGGATTGTTTGGGGGATTGTCAATCATCTGAATGCTGTCAAGGACTCTCCTGAACTCCGTTCTGCCATCACAGAAGTTCAGGTGCCTTTTCTTTACTCTTTAGATGACTCGAAGATGGTGCTGTTGAGTTAGTGCTGACAATGTTACTGTAATGCTCTTCGCTTGTTTTGCAGCCAGAGAAGGTTGAGTTTCAGCTAAGGTTGGGCCAGAGCAAACCCATTTATGATGCATTTAAAACAATCCGAGAATCTTCAGATTGGGAAACATTGAGTGATGCCCGTAAACGAGTAGTGGAAGGTCAGTGTTTTTTTTTTTGCAATACACAGAACTCATGCTTGACTATATGTGGTTGCTGGACAATGCTGTGAATTTGATGTTTGAATAATTAGTGATCCAAGATATGGGTAGCAAGAGATGTTTTCTCTTTGATTGCATTTTGGTTGCGCAGGGTTGAATTCAAACAGCAACTAATCCATGCAAGTAAATGAATGAGTCGATATATGACGCCTACAGTTATACCACGTAGGATCTAACTAGAACCTAACATATCAAACTTCAAGATTTTTAAATAAGTTGAAGAATGCAGTCTCAGTCTTTTTTTTTTTTTCTTTTGAGACTAACAAAAGACCGAATTCCAATAAATATTTCAGTATATACTATATATACTATGCTACAAGCACCACTGATACCTCACCATTGTCTACTACTCTTAAATGCCACCAACTTTACCCACCAATTTTTACTTAAAGGTCACACGTATTAATGGCACTTGACTTCTCTGCAACTCGGATCCTTCAACCACCTCTTTATCAAGAAACCTAGCAACTTGCTAACAAACTATTTATTCTGCTTTTGGTCTGCGCACTAGCAATTGATTAAAAGATAAAAAATAAAAAAAAGGCACAAAAAGAAGAGGAAATCATCAATTTTAATTAAGGATTAAACTAAAATCTAATTGATGAAGTTGTTTGTTTTTTGCATGAGTTTAAGATGCTCCTACATTAGCCAGATATTGCTATATCTATTATAAATAACATGTTTCATTGATTAACAAAATATGGGCATTATAACGTCAATTACGTTTCAATTAGTTTTCCTCACTGAGAGATGAATGGTTCATATGTGTTGATATGCATCTCTGATTCTTTTATGTTAATGATTTAGTGTATCTCAGTAGGCTTGATTGGATTGTTTTAGAAACTAAAATATGTATGGTTCAAAATATATTTTTGTAAAACAGAGTGGGATATTTTTGTAGAGTTGTTTCATTCAAGTGTCAAGTGAATGATTACAAGTATACATTTAAAATAGATGGTCATCTGGGGTTGTCTCCCTTCACCATTCACCATTCACCATTTTTGTTTAATTATTCATACTTTGCCTTGTAAATCCAGCAAACATATTTAGTCAAAGCCTGACCCGAATCAACAAGGAACCACAATTCTTCCTATCAATCACTTAAAAGAACAGTACTGAAGACTGAACGAGCTATGCATATAAATATATATATTCCATTAAAAGTGTCTTTGCATTCTTCGAGAATAAGTAAAGAAATTTATGTTTTCAAAAAACTACAATCTGGGTCTCTGTATCGGATAAGTGGTGTTAAAATGTACCAAAACCTACCACTACACCTACTCCACCCACTTCACCTACTCCACCTACTACTCCACCTACTACATACCTACCTCCTTTAATCTTCTATATATAGGACTCATTGTAAACATAACATATATCAATCAATAATACATCATTTTTTACATAAAACAAGTTATTACAGCGTGAGATGTGTTAAACGGACAAATGCAAAGTAGTCTAATCGGTATAGGTTTAATTGCTAGTGAATCCTTATCTGAAAGAATATTGTAATTCTCAGAAATCCAAGATACACGTTGTTTTCATTCCTGTGTTACATTGAATGCAATGGATGTAAAACCTACAAAACTGTAAAAATAGATGTATTATTGATTGATATATTACAAGATTGTTGTATTACAATTCCTATACAATCTATAGTAAAGATAAAATGTGGTAGTAGGTGTAGTGGAGGTGATAGTGGGTTAGGTGAAGTGGAGTGTGTGGTGAAGTGGAGGTAGGTGAAGTGGAGTGTGTAGTGGAGTAGGTGAAGGTAAAGATGGGAAATTCTAACATATGGCTATATATTCCAGGTAAGCATGGATGCAAAAATGGCTACAATAGAGAAAGCAGAAGAGCTTATAGAAAAGCTTCGAAGTGCTTCTTGGAATGCTGCAATTCAAGGTAGATGCTATGTAATTATTTTTTGTATCACCCATATAGTCCTAGATATAAATTTATTCTTTGTTTCCTTCATGAAGTCCAAAGCAATTGCTAGTATGAATTTAAGACACACTGCATAAAGTGAATTTTGATTAAATTGTTGCATTTTAGTATTATCTTCAGGAAAAATTCATAAACATTATTGATGGATGACTCGATTTTCTTTTTGGTAAAGATTTCACTGTTAACACTGAAATATATGCTGCTTATGCGAGGACAAGTGACTATTCCTTTCAGTGTCATTTATGTTCTGAAAGAAAAAATCAGAGTGAAGAATGTTGTTGGATGCTCTCTGGTTGATGCTCTAGTTATAGAATTGTTCATGACTAGAAAAGAAAGTTTTCCCTAACAACCTCTTTATTAATTTTTTTTTTCCTGGTTGTTCTTTCAATTATCAAAGACATGCAGGAGCTCAAAGATTTTGCTAAAAGTCAAGGCACTGTAGAATCTAAAGAATTGACCCACTGGGACATTAATTTCTGGAGTGGGAGACTTCGACAGTCAAGTTATAACTTAAATGAGGTAGGCCCTCTCTCAATATGTCTTACAGTAGTAACACGAATATCAAGTGAATTGCAAAAGGGGAATAAACTCCACAGGCATGAAATTTGGATGAGGTTAGCAAAATCAACACAGGCTATATTGGGTATCAAAATGCTGACAGCATAAGAGAGTAATATGTGCCAAGCATTGACAATTACTTTTTTTACTTTTTATTCTCTCTCTGTCTCTCTCTCTCTCTCTCTCTCTCTCTCTGTCTCTCTCTCTCTCTCTCTCTTTTCGTTTTCTTTTTTTTTTTTTTTTAATTTTAATTTTAACCTTTAACCTCTATGGATATACTTTTGTGTGGAGAAGTTTAATTTCCTTTCCTGCTGCATCTCATTTCTACAGGAAGAATTACGTCCTTATTTCTCACTGCCGGTGGTTATAGATGGTCTTTTCAACCTGTCAAAGATGCTCTTTGATATTGAGATTGACCCAGCTGATGGCATAACTTCAGTAATATCTATCTACCTTCTTCATTTTCTCGCTTCTTTCTGCTAGTGATGATATCAAACAAACCTCATCCTATCAATATACGGTTCATTCCTTCCAGGTTTGGAACAAAGATGTCAGATTTTACTGTGTCAAAAATTGCTTAGGCATTCCAATAGCTTACTTCTATTTTGATCCATATTCTCGTCCACTGGAAAAACGTGGGGGGGCATGGATGGACATCGTTGCTGGTCGGAGCCGTATTTTGTGTGATGGTACATCTTCCAGGTTGCCTATTTGCCATGTTGTGTGCAATCAAACTCCACCGGTGGGAGACAAGCCAAGCCTTATGACCATTCGTGAGGTATATTTTACCACTGGCCTCTTTCCCAATGGTTACTATTTCTGATTTTGAGGAATGTTTTAAGTATTGGTTTTAATAACCGAGACAGTTATTATTATTTTTTAATATCTATATGATTATATCTATTTATTTGATCACTGGAAGGTTTGCAATTTTCTGAGGAGTCATATAAGCTGCAACTGTTCTGCAGATTTTGCCATTTCGGTTTCATGATCTTCACATTGGTTGATTGCTATAATCAGGTTGAGACTGTCTTCCATGAGTTTGGCCATGCATTGCAGAACATGCTAACCAAACAAGATGAAGGTCTTGTTTCTGGTTCTCGAGGGATAGAGAAGGATGCTGTTGAATTAGCTTCTCAGTTCATGGAAAATTGGTGTTACCAAAGGTAATATTTTATTACCATAAATATCTCAATTCTATCAGTTATGCCTACTTGTCTCCCCAGATTCTACATTTTTATTCATGGCTCAAGCAATTTGAAATTGTTATGTAGCCATATATTATAAGTTATTCTTGTGTTGGTGGAATATGACTGCCTTTTGGGGGTTTCTCACAGCATTGCCTTTGAATCCTTATAAGCATTCAAAACATTGAAGTATGAATGTGAATTACTGCATACTTATTAAATATTTATTCAAGCACCAACATTGGGTTTATGTCGTTTTCAAAAGAAATGATTCCCTAACCTGATGCTCTGCTTTTAATGACTAATGGAGAATTTTCTTTGTAAAATGATTTTAGCATCTCTTCTTTTGCTTTTCTCTTTTCATATTTACAAAACAGTTCATCCCTAAGGAGGTTTAATTAATGGCATATCAGTTAACCACTAATTGTTAGTTCCTGGATTCTTCATGCGTGGGTGTGCCACTCCCACCTAGAAAACCATATTTTTATTTTAGTATGTGAATATAACAAAAGTTTACATATCTAAATGCATAGATAGTCCAAACTTCGATTTTCATAGACATGATGCTTCAATGTTCTTGAACCTGAGCCTGTTCTTGCTTCAGAATTTGAGAACTTTTCAATATTTGGGTGTTTTGGGCATTGAAAGATGTGTTGAAAGTTTGTTTGTAGAGATTAATGAGTAAGGGTGAGTTTGAAGTGTATAATAGTATAAATGCTATTAAGTTCGTTTTAAAAGTTAATGGAGTGCCAAATTTTTTAATATAGGAAACAAGTTGGCCTTTGCAGTACAATTGAGAATATTTGGTTTTATTGGATTCACAATCTGCAAGATTTATGTACCCTGATTTCAGCAGAAGGAACATACTTTTAAATGGCAAATGAATTGATTTTCTCCAGCATTTTCTCGCTGCATAGTACTTGTTGTCCTCCACTGCCTTAATTTTCTTTCCAGGGTACAGCATCGAACCCTATACATTTTGACGATTTGATGGTCTCTCCTAGTTGTGTGGCTGTCACTCTTTATAAATGTCTATGTCCCAAGTACTAAACAAAAGCAGTGTAATAAACTATTGACCGTGAGTAGAAAGATTGCCATTTTGAATTCATTTGAAGCTTTCTTATGAAATGGATTTGCTTCATTTAATGCTATTTCCGTGGATCTATCTAAGAATTCCTGCTCTCCGGTGGTGACTGAAGTAGTATTCTTTCCATCTTTTAGCTGCAAATCATGTGTTATATCCAAATCCTCTAACATTTGTTGAAAATTTAATATCGTCAAATTTGTATCTTTCAGATATAGCAATCAATGTTAAATTTTCTGCTCATTACATATCTCATCAACAATAGTATTTGGAGAATTCCATTTCATTCTGCTAATCTATTTTTAAGCTTTTTTGACAATATGCACATCTATGTCATCCTGTTGTGAATGGCCTCCAATTGCAGGGATATTTTAATGAGCATTGCCAAACACTATGAAACTGGAGAAATTCTCCCTGAAGAAGTATGCTTGAAAATTTTTTCTGCAAGGACTTTTCGTGCTGGTCCACTTTTGCTTCGTCAGGTTAAAAAAGATTTATGCTTATATAGTCTTACCAAATTGCTTCAAAAATCAAATCATTTGTATTTTCTGCTCCTTTTAGCATTTCCACTGAGGTTAAAACCATAGTCTGGTATTACTGTTGGGCTGTCAATTTTCTTGGAGATAGTATATTGGGTTATGTTATGGTGCTGGTGTTATTTCTATTGGATAGCTGGATACACAATGTTGGACCAATTTCCTTATAGCTTGAGCTTTTAGGAATAGTGGTGATCTAACATGATATCAGAGCTCAAGTTGGGGGAGGTCTTGGGTTAAAGTCTCTCAGTTTGCATTTTACTTATCTCTATGTATGTTTTTACATCTCCATGTGCAATATAGGATTGCACGTAAAGGAGTGTGTTGGATAGCTTCGTATATATTGTCGAGCACGTTTTCTAACAGGTTAACCTTTTAGAACTAGTGTTGATCTAACAATTTCCAATTCTCCTATCTTTTGTGGCCTTTACCACTGATTGCCAGCTGTAAATGCGACTTTGTCCATAATTATGCAGCCTTGTTGGTTAATTTGTAGTGTTTTTAGGGTTGAATCTCACAGGGTAGTAATAATTGGTTGTATGTTTTGCATTCTCTTTGGTTCCTTCGTAGTTTAAGAGTTTTGAGGGTTGAAAATTGAAGGTTTCAAACAAATGGGTTGTGTCAGTTTATAACTCCTGTTCCTGAGATAAAAATATGAATAAATATCAGCTTTTCGTACAGCTGGGACTATTTTCCTTCATTGATAGCATTCCTTAATCCTCATCAACAATGCCTAATTTAGGCTAAGATGGTTAATCAATGATTTCTTGTGTGGAATGACAATTCATCTATTATAACAAATTGCTTCAAAAAATAGATGGCAGTATGTCACTAATGAGTCACAGAATTGGGCTTCTCCCAAGTAATCCATTTTTTTTGGGGGGGTTTGATTTTGATGATAGAGGAAAGGGAAGAAATGTTTCTTAGTTCATGCCTAAGTCATAACTCTTTCAATAGATTAAATGTCTCAATAATTCGTATAGTTTTTTTTTTTGGTAGCTACGGTATGCAAGTGTAGATTTGGAACTTCATACGAAATACATCCCAGGTGGGTCAGAATCAATATATGATATTGATCAAAGAGTGGGTAAAATGACACATGTAATCCCACTGCTGCCGGAGGACAGATTTCTTTGTAGTTTTAGCCATATATTTGCAGGTTAGCTCACTTACTAACTTCATTGAAACCTGTCTTTGTTCGTATGTAAGTAATAAAGTAATAAAGTAATAACTTACAGATTATATTTTGAATATCAGATACATATGCAGCTGGATACTACAGTTACCAGGTAGGCTTTGCTCATCTATTTGTGCATTTATATAGTTTCTTTCTTGATGTTTTGGCTTTTTCCCGACTGCTCTGCTGTTTTTTATCTTCACACTCGCATGCGTATATTTGTTCTAATGACTTTCACATTTAACATTACTAACCTATGAATCATGGACACCTCCCCGGAGGTCACATACCGGTGTCCAACACGTGTTGGACACGGGAATGCTCTGGACACATGTTGGACACCCTAGGGACCCATGATGTCCCTTTTTTTTTCCCCCCACTGCTATAGCATACCCAAAGTAGATGACTTTGATGAGAATAATTATGACATAGAATAAATATATACGAAAGTATGATAAATATATAAAATTATATGTTTTGTAGGTCTCCCTTGCATATCGTGTCCTGCATTTTTAAAAATTTGTGTGTCGTGTCACATGTCCCCGTCCGTGCTTCTTAGTTACTAACAACACCAATAGCTGAGCTGTTGTTAGAAGAAAATAATATTTTCCATAATATTTTGATAGCCCTGAATTGCCTTTATCAGAATCATTAAGGGTCACCACCCTACTAAAATGGTAGGAAATTATAAGATTGAAATGGAAGAAAATGAGGTGCTCAGGACATAACTATGCGAGATTTCTACTCTTTCTTTTTTTGGGTTTCTTAATCTTTGTTTCTTTTCAAATGTTACAATTTTATCATGATGACTGTCAAAACTATATTAGGGTAAGAAGTTATAATGAAAGAGCATTCGTGCAGGCATGGAAGCTTTACATGACAAATTGGAAAAAATGTCTGTTTCCTAGATATGATAATTGTTTTTAAATTTTATTCAAGACCTATCATGGTTGGATCTGGCCAGATTTCATACTAAGTTTTTGCACAATGGCCATTGGCCATTTTATCCAGACTACAGCATAAATATGAACTTTGTCACTCTCAATTTGCACTTGTTTCTAAAACTATGTTTTCTTTTTCATTATGTGTGTGGATATTTCAGTGGGCAGAAGTGTTGTCCTTTGATGCTTTCTCTGCATTTGAGGAGGTCGGGTTGGATAACGAGCAGGTATAGCTGTAGATCTGTATTAGACTATTAAGCAGTGATCACTAAACACGCTTTCAGGAACATGTGATATAGTTTGGAAAATAACCCAAGAATTTATTTATTTTGTGTTGCAACAGGCTGTTAAAGAACTGGGTCGCAAGTTTCGGGAGACTGTTCTTGCTCATGGAGGTGGAAAATCGCCCATGGAGGTGACACAATAAACTTTCATATTTTAAGTATTTCTTTTTAACTTAATATGAAGTGAAGTTTGATTTTCATACCCCGAAGATATCTGAGGTAGGGTCGTGCATGCTTCTTTTTAACTTACGACTTAAAATCTCGCTCCCATGCCATGCCATGACAGTGCCACATAGTCGAATCATACAATTTTGGGTCATTTCACTTTTATCCCCTTAACTATCATCATTTTTTTTTTTTTTTTCATCCCTAAACTACCAGTTTTATCTATTTAGTTCCCTACAATTTAACTGCCCTATTTCTGAAGTAGACTTTTTATTTTCAGGTCTTTGTTGAATTTCGAGGGCGTGAACCTTTACCGGATGCGTTTCTCCAGTACAACGGACTGTTACCAGCTGTGGATGCTAATTGAGTGCTTTTTATTAATTCCTACAACAATGCTAGAGGGTCACAATTTTTGTGGCCACAATGGCTTAAAACTGTCAAAATGATATCGTTTTGGGTGTAAAACATGTCAAAACGATGTCGTTTTGACAGTTTTGAGCCATTGTGCCCACAAAAATTGTGACTCTCAAACATTTTCCTAATTCCTACTGGTTTCTGCATACTAGGGGTGGGAAAAATGTGTGTTATCCAACCCAAGACTTCTTCACAAGAGCTGTCCCCATAGCACTTTATGGTCATTTTAGTTTGTATAACAGTCACATACTATAGCCAATATCAACGAGTAATTCTATTTTCGCACGATATTTACACTCTATGAATATATCTTTCTCAGTACACACATTTAATGAATTTATTTATTTATTGTTTTACTCATTTCATACATAAAATGTTTCAAATATGTCCATAACATATAATGTGTACGAAAATTTCAACACATTATGTACACACCATATAAAATATAAACTCCCACTGCACCTCTAAGCCTAAATCAAAACATAAAATGCACCTTACACACAGACATTTTTGTTGGCACACTTCAGTAATTTTCCTACCATATTTACTAAGGTATGCAAAAAAAATTAAATCAATAATTTTTTGTATTATTTTACTATTATTCTTCAAAAATTAATACTCTGTTTAGTTTTAATTTTTCAAAATATTTTTATTAATTTTAAAATCTTTTTTTTGTTTTGTTTTTGTTATTAGAAACTTTTTACATATTTAATCAACTTTTTACTTTTTAGAATCACTTAATTTAGATACATTTAAAAAGTAAATTATTTGCTAAAAATCTTTAAAAAAATAATAAATACAAAATAAATATGTGCTAAATTTTTATATTTTTTGTATGCTTTTAAGTGTATCTAAATTAAGTGAATCCAAAAAAAAAAAATATAGAATATTAAAAATGTTCACTAAAACAAAAGGATACAAATTCAAATTTTTAAAAATTATTTTTCAAAACTCAAAACCAAACTGAGTGCAAGTTATTGCTATACTATTTTCATTATTCGTTCCATGTTAACCGGCAATGAGATGGAAATAATTTGGTACTAGTTATCCAAATACATTAAACAAATTCAACAATCAACAACTAAAACAAACAATAGTTTTTGATTTCGTACTTCTGAATCAAATATAAATTTTTGACATATAACTATTTTTTGAGTTGGTTTTTGAATATATTAAATGTTTTCAAAAGTTAATTTCCTTATAGGTGCAACATTTTCAAAATTGATTTTTAGAATGATAATTGCAACAATGAAAAAAAAAATACTTTCGAACCAAAAAGCTCACATATTCGTTGCCTAATTTTTTTTTAACAATCATTTTTTTTTCTACATCTAAACATTCATTGTTTGTAAATCCCCCATCATACAAATCAATAATAACAGTGGGGTGTAATGAAACAATGTTATAAGCAATGGATAAGGAGTGAAAATCTAAGCAATATCGATCAAATCTATGAGAAACGATGAAGGAATAGTAAAGTGAACAATGATCAATGGAGGGAGTGAGAAAGGAACAAAAAATTAAAGAGCAAGTCTAATATGTGTATTTTTTGAAAAGAAAATGTGTACTAAGAATTTTCATATAAAAGATGTGTGATAAGAAAATTTAGTTTTAAGAATTGATGCATGTATTGATATCTATATTGGTCATTTTGTTTATTAGTAAAATTATAAGAAAAATGTAATTCATTAAGTGTGTGCACAGATAGTAAATGATGTGTGAAAATATAATTACCCAATATCAATTGTTGTTATTTTTAGAAAATTCTATTTCCACACACCTATTTATTTCAGTCCACACACTTAATGAAATTTTATTTTAATGACAATTATAGTCTAAAGTAAAATGACTATAATAGACATCAAAATATACCTATAATATTCTATTCTAATTTTCTCTATACACATCTTTTTAAAATAAAAAAATCTCAGAATTTTCAAAATTTTCAACAGAAAAACCTTTGGCTAGGTCACACTAAATATGGATGTACATGGAAACCGCTTAGCATCCATTTTTGCACACTCTCATCAACAACAATTGATCTTCTCAACATAGTGAGACTGAGAAAAAGCATATCCTTCAGATGTTCTAGTAATTTTTATTCCTAGAATTACATCTGCTACTCCCAAATCTTTCATGTCAAACTTTTTGTTCAACATTTTCTTTGTGGATTTAATCATGTTATTATTGCTTCCAATAATGAGTATGTCATCCACATAAAGACAAACTATGACATAGCCTTTGTCTGTACTTTTAAAATAGACGCATTTGTTACATTTGTTTATCTTAAAACCATCCAAAAGCATAACGTAATCAAATTTTTCATGCCATTGTTTCAGAGCTTGTTTTAATCCATAAAGGGATTTGACAAGTTTACAAATCTTTTTCTCTTAGCCAGGAACTTGAAACTCTTCTGGTTGTTCCATATAGATTTCCTCATGTAACTCGCCATTCAAAAAAGTTATTTTAACATCCATTTGATGTATTTCTAGATTATACAAGGTTGCAATCGCAATTAATATGCGAATAGATGTTATTCTTGTCACTGATGAATAGATGTCAAAATAATCAAGGCCTTCATTCTGCCTGTATCTCTTAACAACGAGCCTAGCCTTTTATTTATCTATTAAACTATCTGCTTTCATTTTTTTCTTGAATATCCACTTATATCCAAGAGGTTTACACCCTGGTGGAAGATCTGTTAGTTCCCAAGTATGATTTTGCGATATTGATTCAATTTCACTATTCACAGCCTATCTCCACAATAGAGCTTCAGGAGTTGACATTGCTTCCTTGAAGTTTTGAGGCACATTTTCTAACAGTTATGTCAAAAAATTTGGACCAAATGATTTAGAGATCCTAGCCCTCTTGCTACGTCTAGGTTCACCTGCTTCATTATCATTGTGGTCTTCACTACTACCCATAGCAGTATTAAAAGTTCTTCTATTTGAACTTTTCTCTCCAGTTTTCTTGCAAGGAAAAGTGTATTTAAAAAGCGACGCATTCCTTGATTCAATAATAGTATTTACATGCATATCAGGATTTTTAGATCTATGAACTAAAAATCTGTATGCACTACTATTATTTGCATAACCAATTAATACACAATCATCGATTTTTGGTCCTATCTTAATCGTTTTGGGACTAAGGACTGCCACCTTGGCCAAACACTCCCACACTTTAAGGTAATTGTAGGTAGGTCGTTGACCTTTCCACAATTCATAAGGTGTTTGATTAATTTTCTTGTGAGGTACCCTGTTAAGGATAAAGTTAGCAGACAAAATCGCCTCCCCCCACAAGTTCTGAGATAACCCTGAACTAATCAACATAGCATTTATCATCTCTTTAAGAGTTCGATTCATTCTCTCAGCAACTCTATTTGACTGAGGAGAATAGGATGCAGTGGTTTGGTGAATAATACCACGTTCAGAACAAAATTTCTCAAATGCTGCATCATACTCATCACAGTTGTCACTCCTCACTATCTTAATAGTTTTGCCAAGTTGATTTTCAACCTCAAGTTTATATTGCTTAAAAGCTTATAAGGCTTCATCTTTACTTCTCAATAAGTAAACATAGCAATATCAAGTGTAATCATCAATAAAAGTAATAAAGTACTTCTTACCTCCTCTAGTTTGAACAAATTTTAAATCATAGATATCTGTGTGAATTAAACTTAGAAGTTCAGTATTTCTTTCTACCTTATTAAATGATGCCTTAATGAGTTTTGCCTCAACGCAAATCTCACATTGATGATTAGGATCAAACTCTAAGTTGGGTAAACATTCTAAAGCAACAAGTCTACGCAAACAATTAAAATTAACATGTCTTAATCTATCATGCCATAAAAAAGGAGACTTAACAATATAAATAGAAGATCTGTTCTTATTATTAAAAACCAGATTGGGTACAATAGTTATTACATCGAGCTTAAAAAGCCCATCACTCATATAACCTCGCCCTGTATACATGCTGTACGGGGAGCAAATATTCCGGCAAGCCCGTACTCCTTTCTTCCGTGCTCCGTTTATGTCCGATCACCTGCGCGCAAACAATGGTGAGCTACCCGGCGGTGTGTGGCCGGAAAAACCCTCCGACGATCAAGTTAGCACACACCTTGAGATAGAGAGAAAGAGGGAATGAGGTGTTTGAGTGTAAGAAATTCCTTACAAAGTGTTCATCTGTTGCGTATGGGGGGCGCAGACATGCTTATATACCCTCTGCGCCCCATATCCACTCCCAGTCTTTTCATGACACGTGGCTCCGCTATCCCATCTGTCAGCATAAACCTTGTCGATCATCACCTAATCTCAACTGCCTGCCTACTCAGCAGGAGCTCGGCAGCCGAGCTGCCCTATCCGTTGCTGTGCCGCGCCGTGCTTCATACCCAAGCACTTCGCCGGCTAGGACCAAGGAGGACCGGGCTAGGCGGCATCTCGGCAAAGCCTAGCCCGAGGCACCTCCGGTGGTCGGCCTTTCTGCCGGTCAAACAGTTACCTCGACTGACCGCATCTTTCCGGGCGCCGGTCACTCAGCTTGTCTGGCTTCGGCCATCCCCTGATCGAGCAGCTCGGTCCGACCGAGCACTGCCTTGCCGAGCAGCTTCCTTACGGTCTGGGGCGGCACACACTCGTCCCAAGTTCTGGCGGCCCATCTCTGGGCGGATAATCGATCATCTTGGCCCCATGCACAGTTGGGCTCTCAACCTGCTCGGCCGTTACCTCGGCCCAACTCCAGATCATAAATCACCCTCTCAATTGCCCCTTAATTCCGTCCGCGGAAGCGTGACTGGGATTACTCACTTCGACCGAGATAACATTTCTCCAAGATGCCAAAGGACGACCGGGCTAGTTACCATAACTGCAAACTTGACCGGTTGTACGCCACGGCTGACGTCCTCTTCTTTAGAAGTAGCTTAGTTGGTTCCTCGACTCTTCAACCCGTCGCTTCAGTCCTGACGTTGCCATAAATGGGGACATGTAGTGGGCTGCCATTGGTCATCGAGCAGCCAACCCGCTGTTTTTGCCAGAATTTGAATTTGGGCAGCCTCTCGTGCTTACATATACAAGACCGCCCTTATGCCATTTCTTCCTACTGCCTCTTTTCTACCTGACGATTCAGAGCACAAGCCATTTCCTCTCATACTCGACTGCCATTCTTCGTGCTTGGAAGAACAGCTCCAGCCCTTCACAGGTAAGATCTCCAATCCCTCAAGTTGCTATTTTCTTTCATATTACACACATTAGGGCACAAAAACGTAGCTTTTACGGCATAGGCCATAGAATCCGTCCCAAACCTCCCACTGTTCTTGGTGTTCTTCTTCTTCCTGAAGAACACTGAAGAACTAGAGCGAACCGG